TTACTTACTTACTTACTTACTTACTTACTTACTTACTTACTTACTTACTTACTTACTTACTTACTTACTTACTTACTTACTTACTTACTTACCTACCTACCAACTATAGTTGGTAAGTAAGTAAGTAAGTAAGTATGAAAGTAATATAATCTTAGAAAGTAGGTATGAATACTCTGTATTACAGTAAAAGTCCTGCATTCAAAATGTTCCTCAAGTGAAAGTAGAAAAGTATTCTCATCAAAATATAGTGAAAGTAGCGACAGTAAAAGTAGTCGTTGTGCAGATTGGTCCATTTCAGAATAATATATATGATATGTTTGATAATGATTGCATGATGTTACAAAGAGCCATTTGGAGGTTCCTACGATTACAGTGTTAGTTAAAACCTAAAAAGAGCATCTAGTGTTTGTTGTAAAGGATCGGATGCTCTCTCTTCTCTGTCAGCTGTTCCGTAGGATAATACTTTAAGGGCGAATCTATAAACCTGCTGCCTGAATCTGCTTTATGAAAGGCAGCTGTTCCTATATGTTAATGTACAGACTACATGCAACCCTCCCAACTCCTGCATCTATTTCACCGTGTTTTCATATCTGCATCCTGCCAGCTCCTCCTCTGCAGAGCGAGGGTTTGAATCTGTCATTCGGCCTCATTAGATGCTTATTAAGTAAATAGCTGTAAATAAGTAAAGGCCCCTGTCACACTGTCCCGAAATTGACACCCGATGGACACACGATAAAGGAAATGTTCAAATTCGGCTGTGATCGTAGCAACATCGGGCCATTCGTGAGGGCATCTTAAGCCATCGTATGACCGCCGGTGGAGTTTCTCAGGCTCCGGCAGCAACTTCGTGAGCGGCAACTTCGTAAGGTACTCGTGAGGGCATCTTGTCAAATCGTGTCATCTTCGTGTTATCATCGGTGCATTCGCCCTCACTCTGATCGGGGCGAATGCCCGATGGCACCGATGATAACAAGATGCCCTCACGATGGCCTTACGAAGGGCACAATTGACACACGAATTCAACACGAAAATGAACCTTCTCAAGGTCCTTCGGCAATTTTTTGGCATGCCAAAGATTTTGCCACCGCTCACGAAGTTGCTGCCGGAGCCTGAGAAACTCCACCGGTGGTCATACGATGGCTTAAGATGCCCTCACGAATGGCCCGATGTCGCTACGATCACAGCCGAATTTGAACATTTCCTTTATCGTGTGTCCATCGGGTTTTTTATTGCACAACAAAATCATGTAAATATATTATGTAAATAACCCAATTTGTGTTCTGTGAAACTAAAAAGGATATAATATATTATTTTGAAGGACAGTTGACAGGAAGTTGTTGTTGTTATGGAAACAACATTAGGCCTACGGAGAAAACGTAATATTTTCTACATATAACGACGGATAAAGTAAAGAACAAAGTCTGAAGATATCAGTACATCATAGTACTGTAACATAATTGTTTTTGGTACTTTCATTGCAGTTGTATGTCTTAAATGTAATGTAAATGTTGCCTTCGTGTGTGGTTCGGGGCCATCTTCATGCGAAATTCACAATTCCATATTCGTGTGTCCATCGGGTGTCAATTTCGGGACAGTGTGACAGGGCCTTAAGTAAGTAAGAAACTAAGTAAGTAGGTGTAGGTACCAAGGTAAGTAAGTAAGATAATAATTATTAGCAACAAAATATCTTAAAAACACACAGAACTGCTGCCCACCTCGTATCCTCTTTATATGTCTCGTTGTTCCCAAGGTCAAATGTTCCTTGTGTCAATATGTAGACATCTTCCACCTACACTTTACAGCCTATTGATGTCACTCTCCTTTCCAGCTACGCCCTCACATGTGCACTTTTCTTAGCTTAAGACTCTCTACCGTGCCTGAACACATTACCTCCCTTTAAGCGGCATTTCAAATATCCTCCATCATTTATTCTTTTGCAATATGAACCGTGAAGATAACTCTTATCAGAATTGAACAATGTTAGTTTATATCTGCATGACCCTCCCACATTTTCCAGGCTTTTGCTATTGATGACTTCAATTGTAAAACTGCAGACTGTTTTACAAATAGAGTTAACATATTAAAGGGGCCCTATTCTACTCATTTTCAGGTTCATATTAGTATTGAGTGTCTCTACTGTGACATGTTGCACACATTTATATGCACAAACACCTCTTTAACACGCATCAGGAAAGGGACAACCGCAAAAAAGCCTAATAGGGCACCTTTAAAGGGGACCTATCATGCAAAATGCACTTGTTGATGTCTGTTATACATCAACAAGTGTGCCCGGTGTGTCAGGGAACTCACAAAGTGTCCGAAAATAAAACCCTCTCTCTTTTCCTCCGTACCCAAATCTCTAAAAACGGGGGAACAACGGAGCTGATCCAGATTTGCGTCCGATATGACGTAATATCTGAAATGTGGACCCACGGCCCAATCAGAAACGTTGCTATCAGAAACAATGCACGACTGTTTTGGACGTAATATGGTCGGTGTTTACATTAGCATCGCTAACACTCAGAGCTAACCTGTACTGGAGAGCATGTGTGTGAAGAAGCAGGAAATAAAAAGGAACTCACCTTGTGGTATAACCGGCAAGAGAGAAAGCCTTTGAGCTCCAGACTGTTTCAGAGAGAATCCTTGATGTGGTTTGGAACATGATATGGCATCAGCTCCCACTCCCCGAAAACAGGCCTGGAATAGAGGGATATGAGGGATTTCTAAAATGTACTTCATAGACATGTTTTTATATTTGTATATATCTGAGACCCATAATGTATGCCTAAAATAGCACGATAGGAGACCTTTAATGTCAACAGTGTCTTGAATACTGGCCTCCCAGGGGGGTTGTTTTTGTTTTTGTTGCAGATCAGTGAGTAGGAAAAACTGGCACTCTTTCCCAGCGTATCCATGTGAATGAAATGCTGTGGTGGTGACGGTGTGTTTTTAGTAACCGTGCAGCTCATCAAGCGGAGAAAAACTGAAGGATATCAGACCGTCACCTCGGTCTGCTTCCCATTGGATCAATCTTTGATGAGCCAGCTAACGATGCTAGTCGGCTAGTTAAGCTAGCATACCGCTAACTCAAGGACCAGCTTCAAAAGACTTCAGGAGGAGAGGAATTCACTCTGTAAGTGATTCTCTGACGCCGTGGCGACGTTAGATCTGGTTGTTTTGGAAGTTGTGGGGAAAAAAGATGGAAACAGAGATCACACATTTCCATTTATTCTAATTTGGTTAGCATAAAGCAAAGACATGTTACAAATTATAAGTTGCACGAGAGGCGCGGAAACACAAATCGATTTGGGGCAGGTGACAAACACTAATTTTCCTTTAGTGCAATTACTCTTGTGATAATTCTCAATAATGACCACAAAATATATCAGCTTGAGAGTTTCAGTCTTTTTTTTGTTACATTTTTGAATGAATGTGTCTTTTGTTTGAGGAAAAGTTAAAAAAAGTATGGAGGTAAATAGTAAATTACCATTAAACAGCAACTAATATAAACACATTTGACATTTTCTGACATGTTTAATGATTATTCACTCGTATAATGTGTTAATTTGACATTTGTTCTCTGATATTTACTCTTTAATGAAGAATATTTGATCTACAATTGGCTTTTGAACTCTATATTAAGTTAAAAGGTGCATAAAGTGAGTTTAGGATGATTACCAGGTGTAGTTTTAGTAAACCTAGGTTTCATTTACTTAATTTAACATTTCCTGTTTGTGACCCAGAACGGATTAGATAGATTTCTCTTCATGTTAAAGTTAACGATATGCCGTTGAATATGTAAAGAAGTGCCCATGCTTTCTATTCATTACAGGGAGATGTTCTTCCTGCAGTGTGAGAGCCGTAAAAAACAAATATAGCTCCGTGGTAAGTATTAATAAAACCTATTAAATCAATATATGCCTTGTACATTCAGCTGAGCAGGGATGATGTATTACAACACACACACACACACACACACACACACACACACACACACACACACACACACACACACACACACACACACACACACACACACACACACACACACACACACACACACACACACACACACACACACACACACACACACACACACACACACACACACACACACACACACACACACATAAAGATGGGAGGGCTACAGATGATAAAGGTGTCATAAAAGCACGATATCTCCCTGTCTTACGGGAAGAGAGGAAAGTCGTGACCTACAGCCGCTCAGGTGAGTACTGCAGCTCTCCTCGTTACGTTTTTTAAAAATATTTGTTAAAGAACATTAATAGTTTTTGATAGAAATAAACAAATATATTTAAAAAATACAACTTATTTTGCTCAATACTACATTTATCCTGCACGGTAAGAACATTTGAAGTGAAAAACGTTGTCAATCCAGGTCAATATTCTGGTGATATGACCTCGAAATGTATCAGCTTGATAGTTATATACTTGTTTTGTTCTATTTTTGATTGAATGTGTTATTTTTTGGTCAGGAAAAGTAAAAATGTATGGTATTAAATACTTAAGGATCATCGTAAAGCAGCTAATATAATAATAATAATGCATTTTATTTATATAGTGCTTTTCACAACTCAAAGACGCTTTACAGTATGAGGGAGGGTAGACAAACAAGGACAGGCAAACAAGTATGTATAGTCAAATAAAATAAACAAATATGACCAAATGTAATTTTTTTTAATCTTGAATGATTATTGACTCGTATAATTTGTGTTATTTTGACATTTGTCCTCTTATATTTACAGTTTAATGATGAATATTTGATGTTAAATTGGCTTTTTAACTCTTTAAAGGTGGATAAGGTGAGTTAAGGATGATAACCAAGTTTAGCTTTAGTAGAGCTGGGTGTAATTTATTTAATTTAACATTTCCTGTTCGCGACGCAGAAAGGATTAGATAAGAGATGCGCCTGTACGTACTACATGTGTGTTTGCACAGATAATAACTATTTGTTTCTTTGTGTTTCCAGCAACAGAAATCACAATCCAGAGAGCATCTTCTAAAACAGATTTATTCTTAAAAATCTGACAAAATGAAACTCCCTCTTCTGACTCTCTGCCTCCTGGGCTCAGGTAAAAAACTATTTCATTTTGTACAATACTATATATAAAACACATCTCGTTTTTTTTTGAAAGTCATTATTCATAACAGATTTGTTGCCAGGTAATTATAAATGAAGATTGAACATTAACACATGTTCGTAATTCAAGGTTTAAATGACAATAAAAATGTGCCAATTAAAGGATTTTAATAATTTAGTCTGCACTTAATGGGTAAAAAGGATTTATATTCAGATTTATAAACAAATATAGAAGGTTAATGGCCAACTAGTCAAAGGGATTTCCACAACCTGGCAACCCAAAAGTCGTCTTATTAAAACGTATAACTGGCTTACAAAGCATTAGTAACAACATATGGTTTAAAGTGCCTTGTAAGAAAGGGATAATTGTTTTTTGAAACCATGGATATTACATTGAGGGCTTCTGATGACACAGAATTGGTAATTTAAGGAGTGAAATTAGGATCATTGTGATATCTAAATAACAAAACAGACACAAAACTCAGCAGGGGGTTCAAAGCGAGTAATCCTTTAATTGTTTTAAGTCATTTCATATCTTTAAAAGTGGTAAAAACCAAATGTGAAACTCAAAGCAGTGAGGAGGAAATGGCAAATAAATGTGTGGATGGGCTTTAGTCATTCATTAACTTCACATCCCAGTTTATGACAGAGAACTATCCAGATGGTAAAGGAGGAAATAGATTTTAGTTTTTTTTATGGGTGTAAGAGACTTCCCTCAGCTGAGCGTTTAGCAGAAGTCTCACTGCCACAAAAAAAAAAAATGAAACATTGCGTTATATCTCTTTTTGGGGTTTTCCCTTTCCTGCAGTGTTTTCTAAAGATTTATGAGCATGTACACGGTCTGCAAACGCTAAAATCACACATTTCCGGAACATAGTGACATCACTACGGAACACCCGCGATCCTATTGGCTATCGCCTAGCAGGAGAGGACTCGACATACTGATATACACCTGAACATCAGCAGGAGAGGACTCTTTAAAGTAGAGACACTACATACTGATATACACCTGAACATCAGCAGAAGAGGACTCTTTAAATTAGAGACACTACATACTGATATACACCTGAACATCAGCAGGAGAGGACTCTTTAAAGTAGAGACACTTCATACTGATATACACCTGAACATCAGCAGGAGAGGACTCTTTAAAGTAGAGACACTACATACTGATATACACCTGAACATCAGCAGGAGAGGACTCTTTAAAGTAGAGACACTACATACTGATATACACCTGAACATCAGCAGGAGAGGACTCTTTAAAGTAGAGACACTACATACTGATATACACCTGAACATCAGCAGGAGAGGACTCTTTAAAGTAGAGACACTACATACTGATATACACCTGAACATCAGCAGGAGAGGACTCTTTAAAGTAGAGACACTACATATTGATATACACCTGAACATCAGCAGGAGAGGACTCTTTAAAGTAGAGACACTACATACTGATATACACCTGAACATCAGCAGGAGAGGACTCTTTAAAGTAGAGACACTACATACTGATATACACCTGAACATCAGCAGGAGAGGACTCTTTAAAGTAGAGACACTACATACTCATATACACCTGAACAACAGCAGGAGAGGACTCTTTAAAGTAGAGACACTACATACTGATATACACCTGAACATCAACAGGAGAGGACTCTTTAAATTAGAGACACTACATATTGATATGAGTGTAATTGGGTCCATTTGCAAAAACTGTCGAAACTTTCTAATGGAGACAAAGCGTTGATAGAGGTCATAGCCTCAGGGTCATAAAGTTAATAGGGTTTGTTGAAAGGGTGGGTCAGTCATATTCTTTATCTTTGACATTGCGCACTTTGCGTTATACAAACTTTTTACACACACATTCACGAGCACTAAGTTTCTCCATAAATACTGTTTGCTTTGTTTAAACAGCAACACTTCTGGATTCATTCAACATGTTATGGACGATGATAAAAGGACTTTAAAGCTGAACTATGAGTCTGTGTTGAGATTGTGAGACACTACAGACAATGATATTGTTTTCTGATCCATAACATCTTATTTTCACAAATTTGCTTCACTAACTTTTGCATCTGCAGATTTCTCTTGAATTGACCAACGCCAGCATACCATAATGCCACATTAGCATATTTAATTATAACATTTCAGAACATTTGTAAGGCAAAAAATAATTGTCTTAATGTCGGTAATCAACTGAGGAGGTTTAATGGTGATGTCTATTAGTTAAAGGTGTTTCCCTCTTTATCCCAACCCTAACTTATAGAAACTTTTATACCTAAAAACTGGAGGAAACAGATCATTTTATGGCCGTTTGTAGTATTTTATGATTTATTCAGTGACACAAATCCTAAAATCCCTCAATATCCAAAAACCTTTGACTATATAACATACAACAAAAATAAAACAAAACTTCTCTCTCATGCGTATTCCGTTAAGACCCTTTAGGCACTCCTGCCTAAACCTAACCAATCAGAGTAGGGGCGGGTCTTCGCGGAATACGCTTGGGGAACAAAATCAAGCTTTTTCACTGTTCACGTAAAGGCCAGTGGATTTATGGCAGGCAGAGAACCAACGATAAAAAGAACGGCTCTCACCAAGTACGACTCGGTTCCCTTCGTTCGTACCAAAGAGCCGTTCAAAAGAATCGAATCGTTCGTAACATCACTATCTTGAACCGGTTTCTGTGTTTTGCTTTTACAGTCGCTCTGTGTGTTGGGCCAACTGTAGCTACTACCACAGCAATCCCAACTACCACACCAGCCCCAACTACGACAACCATTGCGTCCACAACTACCACACCAGCCCCAACTACGACAACCATTGCGTCCACAACTACCACACCAGCCCCAACTACGACAACCATTGCGTCCACAACTACCACAGGGGGCCCAACAACCCCAGGGGGCCCAACAACCACAGGGGGCCCAACTACCACAGGGGGCCCAACAACCACAGGGGGCCTAACTACAACAACAGCCGCAGGAACGACTACACAAACTGAGGCTCCTCCAGCCGAAGGGCTTTCATCTGGCGCTATAGCCGGGATTACCATCGGCTCCATCGCCGGTGTGGGCGCTGTTGGTGAGTACAATACACTAAGATAGGAAACAATACAGTCAGACACCATTGGCTACAACATCATATGGTACAATATGATAGGATACGTCACGATAGGGTACGGTACGGTACAATATGGTACGATACAGTATGATATGGTACGATTTGATACCTTACAATACGATATGCTACGATACCATACATTACGGCAGGGGTTCCCAACCTTTATTGTGCCAAGGACCGGCAGATACATTAAAAAAAACAGTCGCGGACCGGTTGTCAATTTTAACTGATTTTAATATTTACTCACCAGCAGGTAGCAACAGAGGCGAATTGTATGTAACAGCCTGAACAAATACTAGAACAATATGCATCCAAAACATATTAACATTTAAAAAAGAACCGGTGTCGTTTTTCGGTTTTTCGGAAAAACGGAAAACCAAAAAACCGACGTTATTCAGTTTTTTAAACCAAAACGGGAAAATAGATAAATCAACGTTTTGGTTTTGTTTACGATTTACGGATAATCCAGTGAATGCTGGGAAAACGAGGTGAAGGCGCATGAAGGAGAAGTCGGGTCGCCTGTGTGTGTGTGTGTGTGTGTGTGTGTGTGTGTGTGTGTGTGTGTGTGTGTGTGTGTGTGTGTGTGTGTGTGTGTCACTGGCATTTGTTTTCAGAAGATATTATGATGGTGTCGTTCGTTCCGGTGCACGTCCGACAGCATTTAGCACTACATCGAGATTAAGTTAAACTAATTTATTTTGGGAACACCAGCATATAGGTTACCTATGGAGTTAGCCAGATGTGTGTAAATTACTGTTCCTGGTCATTTGAAAACAAATGCCGGTGTCGGACAGACACAAACACACCGAGCACACAGTGCTGAGCTGGGCAGAGCACCGCACACACACACACACACACACACACACACACACACACACACACACACAGCACACACACACCACACACACACACACACACACACACACACACACACACACACACACACACACACACACACACACACACACACACACACACACACACACACACACACACACACCACACACACACACACACACACACACACACACACACACACACACACACACACACACACACACACACACACACACATCATGCGCCTTGGTGACTGCATGGACATCTCCTTCATAAAACTAATAAAAGGGGGAGTAATCTGGCAGTTCGATGTGTGTGTGTGTGTGTGTGTGTGTGTGTGTGTGTGTGTGTGTGTGTGTGTGTGTGTGTGTGTGTGTGTGTGTGTGTGTGTGTGTGTGTGGTTAACACCTAGCAGCCTGCAGTCACTCGCTGTTCTGATGAAGGTAAACACAGCGAAGGCGGTGCGTAAAAAGGCACAGCTCTTGGCGCGCTGGTGCTGCACTTCAGAGGCGGAGTTACACGTCCCGCTGCCTCCTGATGCTGCCTGCAGCCATTTCATGAAGTGAAGGAGGTTTTCCTTCTATAAAACAGCTGCGGGCAGCAGATACCGTGAGAGTCCCGGACACGAATTCATAGATCAAGGCAGACTGGTTTACTCTCCTGTTTTGCCAATCCGGTGCTTAAACAAATAGCTCTAGTCTACACCTCTGGCCGACATGTCCTTAAAATGAAGTCCGAGTTTGAAACATATCTCAAATAATGTATGCACTGCCATTTCCCCACATAAACATAACAGTCTGCAATTAAATGGTTGTCTCCTGTGCGCTCCTCTTCCTACTTGGCGCACCGGTAACTTTCTCGTGCGCTCGAGAGGCTGAGACCCTGAGCCGCCGAATCCCTCGGAACATCATAAAAGCCATTTTCAACGGTTTTCTAGTGAAAGATTAACTAGGCTACTGGATGAAATAATATGACTGGTATATAGGTGCAACAATTAAACACTTTTTGAAAAAAATGTTATAACATATTTTTATATATTTATAATTCTGCAAATATTACGATAAACTCACAGCTATTTCGCGGCCCGGCAGTAACACCTCCGCGGCCCGGTACCGGTCCGCGGACCGGGGGTTGGGAACCCCTGCATTACGGTACGATATGATACAGAATGATAGGGAACAATACGGAACGACACAGTAGAGTGTGTAACGAAACTATAGGATAGGATAAGATACAACTTGGTGTATGATACAAAACAATACATTCGAAAACGATACGATGGTATGTTATTAGAGGAAAACAATACCGTACGAAGAAATACAACACGATACATTTCAATACATTATTAAACTAAAGAACAAACTAAAGTTACCATACGATCATTTATCTGACGAAAACATTTGATACACTACTTATTACATATATTAAGACAATACTCAGACTATACTATGGATTACTAACTGTGATAATATGGAAGTATTTTAATTTAAAGTATTTCCATACAGCAACATTCCCAGCCTTTCATCTAGATTTGTTCAGCGAATACATTCAAGATGGGAACGACAATATCTTCATACAGGATCCAATTCAACAATGTTCCTTTCTGCTTTTAGGTGGTGGCATCTTTGGTCTGCTGAAGTTCACCGGGAAGATCTGAGCGCAGTTTTTCCCCGAAGAGGAAAATGATGGATTATAAGCTAAAAACATTTAACATCCTAAAATCAATCCTGATGCTTTTAACTGGACTCTGAGAAATAAAATCATGTTGTCTGAAATGCTCACATCGGAATGAAGAAATCACGTGATGACACGAGCAGAGAGGAAGACAGCATGCAATACTTTCAGATAATTACTAAATAATGTGTGTTTTTTTTCCTTTATAGACGGATGAAAGTATTTCTACTATAATTGTATTTTTACTATAACTACTAAATCCCTTTATAGTTAACTGTCACCTTTACGATGTAGGCATACCACAATACATTACTTGTATTATTACTGGTTTTTTACGATGGTGTACAAAAGAAATCATTGATATTTTCTTTTAATATGTAATGTATTACTATTGTCGAGGTGACGTTGGGACTGCTTGAATGTTTTTCTTGGATAAAAGGCTTTGAAATTACATTTAATAAATAACTTTATCATCTTTCTATGAACTGCAATGACTCCAAGTGTGGCTTAAAGTCCGTGTGTAGATTATATTAGGATCGTATACTTCTCCAAGTTGTTTGTTCACGATATTAGTACTCAGTGTGCAGTATCTGCGTCTTTAATTAGTGTTTGCAGTATATGCAGAGGAGAGAGAAGTACTCAGAGCTTGTACTTGAGTAGAAGTAGAAGTACTCAGATCTTGTACTTGAGTGAAAGTAGAAGTACTCAGATCTTGTACTTGAGTAAAAGTATAAGTACTCAGAGCTTGTACTTGAGTAGAAGTAGAAGTACTCAGATCTTGTACTTGAGTAGAAGTAGAAGTACTCAGATCTTGTACTTGAGTAAAAGTAGAAGTACTCAGATCTTGTACTTGAGTAAAAGTAGAAGTACTCAGATCTTGTACTTGAGTAAAAGTAGAAGTACTCAGGTCTTGTACTTGAGTAAAAGTAGAAGTACTCAGATCTTGTACTTGAGTAAAGTAGAAGTACTCAGATCTTGTACTTGAGTAAAAGTAGAAGTACTCAGATCTTGTACTTGAGTAAAAGTAGAAGTACTCAGATCTTGTACTTGAGTAAAAGTAGAAGTACTCAGATCTTGTACTTGAGTAAAAGTAGAAGTACTCTGATCTTGTACTTGAGTAAAAGTAGAAGTACTCAGATCTTGTTCTTGAGTAAAAGTAGAAGGACTCAGATCTTATACTTGAGTAAAAGTAGAAGTACTCAGATCTTGTACTTGAGTAAAAGTAGAAGTACTCAGATCTTGTACTTGAGTAAAAGTAGAAGTACTCTGATCTTGTACTTGAGTAAAAGTAGAAGTACTCAGATCTTGTACTTGAGTAAAGTAAAAGTACTCAGATCTTGTACTTGAGTAAAAGTAGAAGTACTCAGATCTTGTACTTGAGTAAAAGTAGAAGTACTCAGATCTTGTACTTGAGTAAAGTAGAAGTACTCAGATCTTGTACTTGAGTAAAAGTAGAAGTACTCAGATCTTGTACTTGAGTAAAAGTAGAAGTACTCAGATCTTGTACTTGAGTAAAGTAGAAGTACTCAGATCTTGTACTTGAGTAAAAGTAGAAGTACTCAGATCTTGTACTTGAGTAAAAGTAGAAGTACTCAGATCTTGTACTTGAGTAAAAGTAGAAGTACTCAGATCTTGTACTTGAGTAAAAGTAGAAGTACCAGAGTGTAGGAATACTCTGTTACAGTAAAAGTCCTGTATTCAAAATGTTCCTCAAGTGAAAGTAGAAAAGTATTCTCATCTAAATATAGTGAAAGTAGCGACAGTAAAAGTAGTCGTTGTGCAGATTGATCCATTTCAGAATAATATATATGATGTGTTTTATAATGATTGATCATGAAAGTGTTCTCAAAGCTGGTGAAGGTGCAGCTAGTTTGAAGTACTTTGTATACTGCAGGGTAGCTGGTGGATTTACTCCAGGTGGAACTAAAGTCTGATTTAACACTTGGTTAGATTTTAATCCAGATCTGTGAAGTAACTAAAGGAAATGTATTAATGTTTTTCACGGCGGTTCTAAAAGGGACTTTGTCCCTCATGAGGCGTTCACTGTTTTACGACGTGTTCATTAGCCGTGGAAGTGTCAACAGAGGGATCGCTTGGTAACACCATGCAGGTAAATGACTGTTAATACTGCTGAGCTGAGTGATCAGCCCATATGGTGTGTGCGTGTCTCTGTGTGTCTGTCTGTCTGTGCCTGTGTGTGTGTGTGTATGTGTGTGTCTCTCTGTCTGTGTGTCTCTCTATGTGTGTGTGTGTGTGTTTGTGTCTCTGTGTGTGTATGTGTCTGTCTGTGTGTGTGTGTGTGTGTGTGTGTGTGTGTGTGTGCCTGTGCGTGTGTGTCTCTGTCTGTATGTCTCTATGTGTGTGTGTGTCTCTGTCTGAGTGTCTCTCTATGTGTGTGTGTTTGTCTCTGTGTGTGTCTCTCACTCTGTCTGTGCCTGCCTGCCTGTGTGTGTGTGTGTGTGTGTATGTGTCTGTGTCTGTCTCTGTGTGTGTGTCTCTCTGTCTGTGTGTCTCTCTATGTGTGTGTGTGTGTGTGTGTGTGTGTGTGTGTGTGGGCCTGTGTCTCTGTGTGTGTCTGTCTCTGTGTGTGTATGTCTCGGTCTGTGTGTGTGTGTGTGTGTGTGGGCCTGTGTCTCTGTGTGTGTCTGTCTCTGTGTGTGTATGTCTCGGTCTGTGTGTGTGTGTGTGTGTGTGTGTGTGTGTGTGTGTGTGTGTGTGTGTGTGTGTGTGTGTGTGTGCCTGTGTGTGTGTGTGTGTGTATTCAGGCTTGGGGAGTAATAGATTTCATGTAACAGGATAATCAGGATACAAAAAAAGAGTAACTGTATTCCCTTACAGTTGCATTAAAAATGGGATGAGTAGGATTACAATGTGAGTAAAACCTAAAATCATAATCTAGCTGTTCTGTAGGATAATACTTTAAGTGTGAATCTATACTTCTACTGCCTGAATCTGCTTTATGGAAGACAGGTTTTCCTATAAATATAATCTCTGAGCGCCCTCTAGTGGACGTGGTGTGAAACTACCCACAACTTTAACCAATCAGAGGAGAGAAGATGATTTATGCTTTACTTTAAACTGGTAAAGATGGAGCTCATTTTAACTACTTGATATACCGCTGGATATCTTTACCTTTAATTATATATCCATAGTTATTTATTAGTTGATGTATATTTTTGTAGATACAATCGTTAAATTAAATAATGCTTATTAATTGGGAAATGTTACAGACTTTACCTTTAAACAAATGCTTTTGTTGCTCTTCTGGATATAGGAACAGATCGTTATATTATAATAATAATAATGATATTTTTAACCTCATGAACTCCATAGGTTAAAACGACCAATTAGATCCAAAACAAATACACACGATGCATTGTAAGTTAACATTGTATTTTTAATCTTTCATAGACTCAGATGTCAGCAACATTATTTAATTGCTGGAAAAGCAAAACAAATATTGTTGATGCTTGATTTTTTATTCTAAAGCAGCTTTGGTATTTTTGGGCTTTCCACCACAATCAGGTACATTCCCTGCGCCGTACATAAATACTGTACAAAAATAATATCTGTCCAAAACCACAAGGCTTCGCTCAATAGAATATACAGTTTACACTCTCAGTTACTACGTGTTAAATACAATAAATTAGCTGTTCCATGTCGTCAAAGTGGATGGAAATAAATCCACTGGTGTGTGTGGATTCAGATCGAGGCACAGCAGTTAAAACAGATTTTTTGGAGTGCATTTTAAGCCGTGCCTTGAGCTGAATTTTACACGTAGGTAATATTTTCCAAGCGTCCATCCAACTCACGAGCTCATCTTGACATCCTGAAGATCAAATGTGCAGAAAAATCCTCCGAAAACACACCGAGAGGAAGGTGAAGTTTTTACTCATCATGTCTCTGTGTTTTATATCCATTGTCTGTAGTGGCAGGACTCCCTCCAGCAGGGGGCGCTGTCTCTCTTCAGGAAGTGTGTGTGTGTGTGTTTTTTATGCAGGTTAAAGAGTCTAAAGTCGACACGTCTGGTATTTGCTGTGCGTCACGGAGGAGGTCATCTCGTAGAAAAGGACGTAGGCATTACTGCTGCGGACCTGACTGGAGGACACCGGACTCACCCTGCACACACACACACACACACACACACACACACACACACACACACACACACACACACACACACACACACACACACACACACACACACACACACACACACACACACACACACACACACACACACACACACACACACACACACACACACACACACACACACACACACACACACACACACACACACACACACACACACACACACACACACACACACACACACACACACACACACACACACACACACACACACACACACACACACACAAGTATTGTAAATTAGATTAATTGAGAACATGTAAAACAATAATACAACACATCATAATAATAACAAAATTAACAACAAAAATTGCAAAAAAAACTAAAACAGTACCTGCAGTCGTTGTAGTTGTACCACTCCCCCAGCGCGGGGCTTTTACAGTAGGCGGTGTAGTGCCCCCCCAAAGCGTTCCCCGAATGGTTGGAAACTGCATAAAGGTTGTAGACGGGACGCTCTGCAGGGACACACAGCTGACATTAACTCACCACATTCAGACTAAAGTGCAAAGGGCAGGAGGGACAGAAACTCACCTCCGCCGTCCGAGGAAAACTCCCGCAGGTCGAGCTCTTTGAGCGGGAAGTTCACGTACGTGGAGAGTTTACTGGTCCGCAGGTTAGAGTCGGAGAAACGCTTCAGATCTGAGAGGAGCCGAGTCAAGGAGGCAACATGGCGGGGGAAAGGACATTACTGTGCTTCAAGTGCAACATTGGGTTTTGGGACAGTTTGTACATTTAAGAATGAATTAAAGTGAAAAATACATTTAAAAAAGGAGAAACAAATTGAGATATAAGAACGGTAGATAAGATGTCAGAAACGTTTCTCAAAGTCTAGGTGATGTGTCAGGCAAAAACTCAAAGACATCCAATAGCATGATTTAAAAACTAGAAAGCAGAACATTTCCAGATTTTAAAAACAAAATGTTCTGCCTTTGATGCACGACTTTTAAACATTTCAAATTTAGATAATTGCCAGTTCTTGGTCATTAAGTCGACTAATCTTAGCAGACCGGATATTCTACTTTACTGTATTATATTAATGACATCAGTTTAATTCCATATATCTGTTTTATTTCCCACCTACATCTCAAGTTTACAAATGAACCATTCGCACTTTGCCGGCTTAATGACTCTGATAATGAAATGCTCTTGGCCTTATCGAACATAAGGTTTAGTACACGCTACCAATCACAGCTGTGGAGACATGGGTATAGTTGTCTCTTTGTAGGACACTGATTTAAATTATTCTTAAACTATGAATTTTTTTTATGCTGTGTATTTAATTTATTATATGTAATGTCTTTTATCTGGACCCTGATTGATTGATACATTTATTTCGAACAAGTAAAATAAATAATTACAAAAGTACGAGTATTGCCATTTTTATCGCTATCTCCGACTTTTATTTTTGTACTCTATTTTATATTTTATTTTTTGATTTCTTCTTATTATTACAATTATTTGTTTAATCTCTCAAAGTGTATCAGTATCCCTTGTTGTGAAGCACTTCGAGATTTGTCTTGGCAGATGAGAAGCGCTATACAAATTAAATGTATTTATTATTATTAAAACAAAACAAATGTTGCAGTGCATAGTCATGTAAGAGAAAAACAAAAAAATGACATTTACAACAACAACAACAACAACAGCAACATAAACAGTGCCCTGAGTCTGTAATAAAGTTTTCATATTAAAAGGCTGCTTAAACTTAAATAAAGAAAACACTTAACCCTCAAAGTAGTCCATGATATATTTCCCTTATTGACTTAGTGGATGCTGATTGGTTAGCAGTGATGTTGTGTAATCACGTCTGCATGCTGTAAGATGTGAGGAAAGGATACGAAGCACGAGGATCTGAGGAAACTTCTGGATGCTGAATCTTTTGGTGCATTTCCTCCTGGTTTTACATCTGTTGCACGTCTGAGAGACAAAGAGGAGAGGAAGGTGAGAGACTGCTGCTGTATAATAATATATTTATAATCTCCACAGGAGGGTGTTGTGTGTTTCCTGAGGCTTCTCACCGGTCTCTCTTCTCCGTCCAACACGTCTTCTTTGGTAAAAAGCCTCAGACAGTCTCTGAGAGTCACCTCGCCAGAGCTCTTCTGAGGAGAAACAGATAATGTCAGGAAACACACATTAAACTTCTAATTCAAGGAGTTTTTAAAGGAATTTCCAGACTTTTCCACAGTTTCAAATGGAACTAGTTTAACAGAAGCTAAACAACTGAGCTTAAAAAGAGTACAATCAACACAAACACATACAGGACAAGACAATGAATGACTTGTTTTTCACTGCAATATTAAAGTATTTAAAGTCAAGCCAACACTATATCCTAAAACATGGATGGCTAAATCTTTCCAGTGTGTGTGTTTACCTGAGCAACAGGTATGGATAAGTCCCAGAAAGGATCGAACACGGTAGATCTGAAGCCACAGGAGCTGCAGGTGACAGAGCTCTTCAGCTGACCCACAAACAGATCTGAAGAAATAAGACACATGGAGGATTGAAGTTAGCGCTTCTATTGGCTAGCGCTCCAACACATTGTACGTGATAGGCTAAGGGGTGGGACATCTAACCAATCAGAGCAGACTGGGCTCTGGTTTCAGGCAGAGGGTGAAAAACACGGAGAAACTCTTACCCACTACTTTGCTGTCCTCTCTCTCCAAATACATGTTCCACATCCGCTTCCCTTTCTCATCGTCTCTGTGAGTGAAACCAAAGTATTAATGAAAACACTGAAAAGGTTTGCTGATAAAGTGGTACAGGAATGAGTCCTAAAACCTGGAAACAAGTCAGCATTTTAGCACTCACTGTCCCTTCATCTGGAAGTTTATTTTAAAATGTGTTTTTGGTTGTTAGCCTGAAATAAGGTGTATGGTTAACTCAAGATGAAGAGATTTTAATGTTTTGTTCTACAAGATAAAATATGTCAGTAAATAACCCACTGGTGAATTTAAAAACAGAGGTTGCTAACAAGTGTCTAAATGAGACGACTAAACGTTGTCACGCCCAACATAAGCCTCCTTTAGCTTAGCGGTGGTGGCGTGAAGTCATGTAACCGTGCTGTAGTTTCTTTATAGCCCAACATTAGCCTCCTTTAGCTTAGCGGTGGTGGCGTGAAGTCATGTAACCGTGCTGTAGTTCTTTTATAGCCCAACATTAGCCTCCTTTAGCTTAGCGGTGGTGGCGTGAAGTCATGTAACCGTGCTGTAGTTTCTTTATAGCCCAACATTAGCCTCCTTTAGCTTAGCGGTGGTGACGTGAAGTCATGTAACCGTGCTGTAGTTTCTTTATAGCCCAACATTAGCCTCCTTTAGCTTAGCGGTGGTGGCGTGAAGTCATGTGACCGTGCTGTAGTTTCTTTATAGCCCAACATTAGCCTCCTTTAGCTTAGCGGTGGTGACGTGAAGTCATGTGACCGTGCTGTAGTTCCTTTATAGCCTAATGTTAGCTCACAAAGTGGTGTTAATGACATGTGAGGTGGAGGGTTGACTTACGAGAGATGGTCAAAGTCCTCATCGGACACATTAGAGCGAACCGTCACTCGGTTCACTTCGTTATGGAGGCCGTCCAATAAGAACCGCAGAAACTCCTGGGCGTCCTGCTGACTGCGAGGAGGGAAAATGTTACTTTATTTTCTCTGAAATCAGCAATAATTAATGGATGATAAAGTATTTTAAGCAGCAGGAGGGAAGACTTACTTGCAGCCCACAAATTTGGGAGCGTATCTCTGGATCTGGCTCCTGAAGTCCGAGGGACTGACGGCCTCGCTGCTCGCTGACGTCCACAAAGTCTGAGTCAGCTTTGCAAACTCTGAGGCAAAAGCATAGAAAAACATGACGGAAAATTCAAGATTAAAAAGGTTGAAAGGTTTTATTTTCATATGAACAATAGCTATAGCGTAAGCGATGGAAATCTGGACACAGCCACAGTGCAACATGCAATTAAAAGACAATTTAACTGCAAGAAAATTACACACTGGTGCCAGTAAAAGGCAGAAATAAGTAAACTATGCACATGCTGAATAGAGTAAAATCAATAGAAGGTCAAACTGTGACTGCAACTGTTCGTGTTTGTGCAGAAACTGATAATTGGAGTATTATCTGATGCGATTCCAGTGATTTTTCATAGTGAAGGTGATCAAGGTAAAGGGTAGTTAGAGCTTTCGTCCGTGCATCAGAGCAATATGAAGCTTAAGACGTCATAATTGAGTATAAAGTTCATAAATGAGAATGACTGCTGAGCCATAAAGTGACTCAACGCTAACACGTGTACAGAGTTTCCCTTCATGCTGACGATATGCTGTTTTTTCTCCTACCTTCCATCAAAGCAGCGTTTGTGGTGCAGTTGTTGTTCAGGTCCGAGCGATGGACGTTTCTCAGGCAGTAGTCTCTCAGCTCTGAAGTGTTACTCAGACATTGGAGGATGGAGTTCATGAAACACTGGAAATCAAACAAAAAAATGTAAAAAAACCAGATATAACGAGATTAAAAAAGCAAGATTTAGCAGGTTAATT